AAAAAAAACAGGGTGCTCCAAATTGGTCTTTTGATGTCCATTTAAATGAGACATTGGATATTAAATAAGCTTGTGGATGCTGTGCTGGTTCCTTATGATGAGTATTCAGTCCTATTTCTATCATACCCCGCAGAGCCAATACTCTTGGTCTTAGATGGTAATAAAGTTGAGAACTGTCTTTGATACCTTTCCCCCCTTTCCCTGCTTAGTTTGGTCTTTTTTCTTTCTTATCCCTGCAGGATAATCATATACATAAAAGTTGTGAAGGAAATGTATCAAGTTTTCTCCATGCTTTCTATCAGACTCGTCGGTTCACAAAGGCCTGGGTGATAAAAAGGAATACATGAAAAGATAATGTGTAAAAAACATTCTGTATAATGTCAGTGGATATACAGCAGATAACATTTAAGTGGGGAGGTGAACTGATCTCATTATTTTAAAAAAAAACCCAAAAAGTAGCTGTGTGATCCATGGGTAGAAACAAAACTCAAGTTGTGTAATACCTTCATTAGGATCATCAAAATGTCACAAATGTGGCAAGTCTTCATTGCAGTGGGGAAGTGTGGCTCATGGTCCACATGTAAGAATCTTCCTTCCTTCCTTCCTTCCTTCCTTCCTTCCTTCCTTCCTTCCTTCCTTCCTTTAATATCCTGCTTTTCCCCAAATCTCCACAAATGTCATTCCCCCCACAACAAAGATGATATTTCCCTATATGAACCTGCCAGAGACATCAGATCCTTCAAAGAGGACTTTCTTTTAGTCCCACCACCATCAATCTGATGAAAATACAGGAGAAGGCCTTCTTAGTGGCAGCTCCTGGATTCTGGAATTCTCTTCCGTGGGAGGCTAGGCTGCCCCCCTCTTTGCTCTCCTTTTGCAAACAGGCAAAGGACTTTCTGCTCCAACATGCATTTACTAATAAATTGGCTACAAGGAATGTTTGTGGTGGGGAGGAATACAGTATTTTTAACTTTGTTAAAATTGGTTCTCCTTATCCACAGATCCCTTATCCATGGATTAACCCAGCCATGGATATACAGTGCAGCCACTTCTTATGTGAGTTTGCCATACACAGACTTAAGCTTCCACACACAGCAAGCCCATGGCTTTAAAATGGCATGTACAGGAGCGTTCAGCCATAGTACTCAAGGGGACTTGAGGTCCCGCAATATTTTCCATACATGGAAGGATCTGGAATGGATCCCTCACATATAGAAAGGGCCCAGTGTATATATTCCAAATAGCAAATCTTGATTTTGCCATTTTATATGAGGGATACCATTTTACTATGCCATTGTATTTAATGGGACTTGAGCATCCTATGGATTTTGGTATCCATGGCGGGTCCTAGAACTCCAGCATATACCAAGGGGCCACTGTACTACTCTTTTTCAATGTGATTTCATGCTTTCTAAAAGCCAATATCATTTTAATATAACTGTTAGGTTTTCAGTTTTTTCTTGTTTTCACTGGCTTGAAAGGTGGAATATGAATTTTAAAAAATAAAATATTTTGTGACTTTTCTCCCTGCTGTGTGCAAGTCCTTAAAAACT